GCTGCCGGTGGATACCAAAACACACACACTCGCACATTTTTCTAACCATAATTGCAGACAACAGGCACCCATAACAATGTTCGTGGGCAAAGTTGCTTATGGACTCATATGCTTATGCACTTACCCAGTGCTGGAAAGCAGTAATATTTTATACCTTCAGTATTATTTTTATTTTTTCTATATTTATTTTATTTTTATTTTTATTTTTTTAATTTTCTTTATTGGGCATGTCTACCTGATTCGCAAGACTACTTCCCACTTCTGTTCATTTCCACTTTATGCACTGTTGCCTACCAACACCTCACCACACATCACACCCCCCACTAACGAAACTAAATAGCAACAAAGTTATGGCAACAACAATAACAAATCCAAGCACACGTCAATTATGGGCAAATCTTTGACGATCGACGTTTTGGTTTAGTTTATCTCGTTAATCGCTAATTTCGTAGTGAGTTACAGATTTTGGATAAGAAAACAGAAAAGTTGCAATTAACGGTGCAGCAACAACAGAAGTAGCAGCAGCGGTGTTTAGTTCGTGCGAAAGCCTTCATTGACGTTTTGTACCTTGTAATCATGATTTTCTATATGATAATTTTACTTTCTTTTGAGGATTTTTTTTTTTTTGAATATTTTCTGTTTGTTTGCACAGCCGCTGTCGATACCCCATTAAACACGCTAATAACACACTAGGCACACAGCATGCTTAAACAGCTCATAAATAATGGTTAAAGTGAAGCACATGTTAGTGCATAGGCATACGAAAATATGTTCACATTTCTAACATTTGTGGAGAAAATAAAAGGCAAAAAATATAAAAAACTACATAAGGAGAGGTTCAGCTCGGATGGAACCGAATATTATATCTTGTAAACACTTTAGATCATTTATATAACCGTCTTCGATTCGCCATTTCTCTGCTCGCTAACCGAAAGTAGTTAAAAAATTTTATGTGAAATTAACATCAAAGTTATTTAGTCGAATTTGATACAGAAATATATACCTCATTAAAGTGTAATAAAAGTGCTACAATGTTATCATGTTTTATGAAAAAAGGTGCAGTTAAAACTATAAATAAATATTATCATTAAAGCACAAACGTTAACTTCAGTTGCATCACAGCTATAATTCTCTTCACCGGATCATCATTTCCTTACAAGAAATTTATTTTGATTGATTTGTTTATATGGCAGCTATATGCCATAGTAGCCCGATCTGAAGAATTTCTTCGAAAATTTCAAAATGGCCATAGACAATAATCTGTGCCTAATTTCGTAGAAAATATCTCGTCAAATACAAAATTTTTCCATACTAGAATTTGGTGAGGATGTTGATGGGGTTTTCAATAAGAGTGTTACCAACGGTTTGGAATATCAATGAAATTTTTATTTCTGTCAAAGTGCATTCGATGCCATTTTGTATGGAACTCGATTTATTTTGCATGGCCACCACGGGCACGCTGGCAGAAGTCCAGACGCTGAACACAATTTTCACGTTTAAAGTTCAACAATCGTCGCTAGCTTGTTGGCATAGACCATAGACTTGATGTAGCCCCACAGGAAATAGTCTAACGGTGTCAAATCTCACCACTGAGGCGGTCGATTGACTGGGCCATTTCATTCACCAAACTTGGTTTTCAATAATATAAAGCGATTGTGACATTCGCTGTGTGGCTTGAGGCGCCGTCCTGTTGGAACCACATATTGTCCAAGTCTATATCATCCAATTCGGGACAAAAATATTCGGTTATGATTTAGCGGTAGCGATTTCCATTCACAGTAACGTGCCGGTCTTGATCATCACGGAAGAAGTACGGCCCAATGACGCGGCCGGCCCATAAACCGCAGCAAACCTAAATTTTTTTGGGATGCTTTGATAACGCATGGAGTACTTGTGGGCTGCTTGCCTGACCAATAACGCATATTTTGCTTATTAACGAAGCCATTCAGCCAGAAATAAATTTCATCACTGATGATGATTTGTCAATGTAAAACCGGATCATTTCCAAGTTGCTGCTTAGCACAATTCAAGAACACACGACGATTCTGTTGGTCAAGCGGCTGCAGTTCTTCCGCCAATTTGATCTTGTAGGAATCTACACCGAGATCTTTTCGCAAAATTCGCCACAACGACGTCACAGACATGTTCAACGCTTGCGAACGATGTGTGAGAGACTGATTTGGGTCCTTCTCAATTGAAAGGTAGCAATATTCTCGACACTGCGGGCACCTCTTTGTTTTACTGGCACGTGAAAATTTTGTGCTGTCCCTGTGAATTAAAATTTTTCCACTTGATGCTCAATTGTGGATGACTATGACGACCATAAATTAGACGAAGCGMTCTTAAAGTAGAAGCCACTGACTTAAATTTCGATCGTGAATTCTAATAATTTAGACGCATTGTTGAATCGTATATCTTTCCATGATGAAATGGCAAACCTTACTGAACAGAAATGTCAACAGAGCGGGAAAAACTATGGCGTCCTTTGCTGTCCTTATCGTTCTACTTTTGTAGCGTACCTATTAAAAACCCTATATCTAACTCGATTCAGGTGATACAAATAACTGTTATGTGAACAACTCTGTGAGCTCTGTATTAACAATTTTGAACTTCCTGGTCTCAATACTAACTTATTGCAAATAAAGAGTAAGCTTAAAGAGAGAAAGGAATAATACATATTCTGAAGTGATAGTGAAAGATATGACTTTTCCATCGGTCAAAGTTGATTAGGACTTAGCAGTAGATGAGAAGAAAAACACTATATCCAAGTGTGTAAATCTATATAAGGCTTAAGTATATTTATATTTGTATAACAAATACAACTAAAACCCAAAAATCGGCAGTTGAATGTTGAATAACCGCTGGGCAAACAACACGACATTTGTTCATCATTCAAACTCAAACTTTAAAATGGTGAAGCGTAAGCGCTTAACACTTTTATGTCTTTATGTCATTATTTTCAACACCTTGACCATGCCATCACTCAAACAAATGTGCCTACCAAGTCCGCGGGCCAAATAATCAACCAAAATGCAGCTCTGCAAAGCAAAGCCAATCATCAGTTGGCACAATAGCTGTGAAAATTCCGACCATCATTTGAGTTTGCAATAAATAATACAACGATTATTCGTTGAATTGTTTAAATATTTGGTTAACATTGATTTCCTACCGTTAACACCGTGTCGCGCACAGCCATTATCGCTCTCATAATGAACGTAATTACGATTTTTGCAATTTGTCACACTTTTGTTTATGATGTGTGTGTTGATTTTTAACCCATCTGTTTTTATTTCCCTCTTTTCGGTTGTCTTTTATGATTACGGTATTATTAATTAGTCCGAGCTTTTGTATATGGCTGAATGCGCTGCTATAAAAAATCAAATTATGCACTCTTGTACTCTAATTTTAGATATTTTCTTCATCTTCTTTGGAATCCGGTGGAAACGAAACGGCTTCGCAAAATGAGAAACATATTTATAGTAAGCAGGTGCTTAGTAGGAAATTTTGACTATCTTTTCCTATGCTCGAGTTCCTATCTGTTCCAATATCATAATTTCTATAACATATCTCATAGGTTTATTGATATTTTCGATAAAAGTTCCTGTTCGCATGACATTTGGGTCTACGTAACTGGAACGTACCCGAATTTTTATCTGGCCAAGGACTGTCAACTCGCCAGAATTCTGCAATATTTGATATCCGGGGACTTTAATAGTTTTGATTCGATTTGGACAATTTTTGTTCATAAGGTGGCCCACTTTAGCACAGTATGCGGGTAAGGTTTTATCCTCCGATAAAATCATTAGTGCTTAGTTTTTTTTTAGAAAGAGAAAAATTCAGACACAATTTAAAAATGTGTTATATGGGAAGTGGGAGTGGTTTCAGTCCAATTTCTCACGTTTTCGCAAATATTCGAAATATAGGCGTGTCAAGGTGGAATTTTATACCAACTTTGGTCGATATAAGTCGAGTAGGTATGGACATAAATGATTGCACCTAATGATGCCATTTTAACCCCCGGCTTCTATAAAGCCCTCTTGTCCAGTGTGTTAAAATTTAATATCTGTGGTGTATTTGATTATTGAATTATCGCGTTTTAAGAAGTTTTTAACAAATCCGTTAATGGAGAGCCGACGAAGTTACAATTCCATGTCCACCTGTCAGTAGGATTTCTTAAAAGATTTGTTCTGAACGAATTTGGTTATTGTATCTTTGGTGGTTTAGGAGCTTTGTACCTTAAAGCTATTTGGGTGCGGGCTGTGACCATTTTTCCAAATTATTAAGTTCACAGATGCCCCTTGCTACTGCAATCCACTCACTTTTTGATAAAGAAATGTACTTTTTCTTAATTCTTACTCAATTAAAACTTGCACGAACGGAGAGACGGACAAACAGTCACTCGGAATTCAACTAATTTCGTCATCCTGATCATTTATATATGTATACAATCCTATATCTTTTTTTATATTTTTAGGTGATAAAAGCAACCGTTAGGTGAACAAAATTATTACACTCTGTAGCAACATGTTGCAAAGTATAAGAAATTGCAACGCTGATATCGGCTATCAGATCGATATCTCCAGAACTCAAAGACTAGTTCACGTATGTACAGACAGACGCACATAATTAAAGCGACTATACGATCTCCGACGTTTTCTTCTCAATGTCATAAAACTTATTATACCTTGTTCAGTCAATCACGTCGAAAGATTATGTGCGCTTTTTTGAAAAAATCTAGCATCGTCTTACGAATTTGCTTTAAAACTAATAAGCAGTCGTTTGCTAACTGAAGTACAATATATTTTCTTTTCTTAAATACAACTTCGTTATTTAGATAAGAGAACATGAAAATGGCAACGATAAATTTCATGAAACTGAAACACCGTATTAATTTTTCGTCTTTCTTTCCGTTTGTTTTCTATTTCCATATATTTTTTATGAAGGTTCAACTGTTATAATTTTATCATTCGCCCTATAATAACAAATTGAAAATACAATCAAAAACAATCAACATATTTCTATTATTTCGGTTTCAAATATAACAAAAATGTATAAATGCCGTCCCACCGGCGAGTGGATGAGCTATGATGCTAATACACGAACACCAAAATCAGTTACACATGAAATGCTTGAGGCCGGACGAAAAGCGACATCAAACATACGCATCATCGCCAGGAAACAACTCAACTTTCAATCCTATCCCATGAACGACTTCCGCTTTGATTTGCTGCACTTCGATAAGCCTAAGGAATTTCAGAGTGTTTCAACCTACAAACGTGACTATGTTGAACCATTACCATCGAAGTGCAAGCCGAAAAACGTACATGATGTAGAATCACCGGATCCACTTTTCAATCGTAGAACAGTGAACGATTTTGAAATGGTGCCTTGGGTGGATACAAAGTTTATGGACGATAAAGTTTTTAATATCTCAGAGTCACGAAGAAAAATCAACTTCTTTAGGCAATTGCGGAATCGGAGCTTCCAATTTTAATAAATTTGCAATAAATTGGAATGAAAATGGAGACAAGCTGTTGATATGATAATGCATACACATTGTTGGCATATACACAAACAAATTTATATTGATTGAATGAAGTTAATAAATCACCTTTGTTTACATACCAGTTATATCTAATAATTCGCGTACAATTGAAGCATATTTTCTGCGGAAGCTTGAGTTTTGCAATAGCGGATATAGGAAACAAATTTTGTACAAGCGCAAAAACCACTTTGTATGCTAAGCCACAAACACTAGACACTTTGAAAACTAAATTGAAAACAAATGATTTAATTTTACAGCTAGTTGTAGATACTCTACAATAATTTTTGACTGTTAAATGCACTTCAAATATATTTAAAATATTATAAAGCGATTTATTATATTTTCAATTTACTCAATCGAATTTTCCAGACTAGATGAACGCGCCGTTATACATTAAAACAACCTTCGCGACCCCTACCGGTACAATCGAATTTGACTGTGTTTCATAAGCACGCAGTGTTGTATGTTAAGTTATCAAATATTCCAATTAGAATTTTAATAGTTATATATAAATCGCTTGCTTCTGTGCACGTGGTGAGCTTTTAAATAAAACATTTTTTTTTTTCAAGAATTCCAAGTTAACATTTTTCAGCATATACATATGCTTTTAAGCCAAAAATAATTAAAAATTTGAGCTAATACTTTTCAGTAGCAATACAACATAGGCCATCGTACAGTTTACGAAAGCACTCATCGCAACACTGTTCCCGTCGAGTGGGAAAAGTTTGTTTCGCCAATTGACATTTTCTTTTTGGGAGTTTTGTTCGAAAAGTGTAAAATTCTAGTGAGTCGAGTGAAATTTTTTAAACAACTTCAAAAGCGGCAGGATTTTAAAAATATAAACTCACATAAATTGTTTTTAGAAAGCCCGGAAAGTACACATTGAAGTGCAGCTGAAAATTTGTTTCAAAGAAGTGTGTGAGTGAAACATTAATAACAAGCGACGCCATCGCAAAAGTAAGTGTAGTGGGAAAATTAAAGAACCACAAAAAGAAAATACGCATACATTTTCCATTTTCAAAGACGTACCCATCCAAAGTGACGCTTTTTACACGGCGCAAGTTCGATTTGCATTGAAAACTTTTGTGTGCTCTGTGGGTGCTAAAAGCGATAGTGCTCAAGGTGAAGGGGAACCAAAAAAAGCGATAGACGCACAAATATCCGTAGATAGGAAAATTGGTATTGTCAGCTAGTTGAGTTGCACAAGACGAACCAACAAATAAAACACAAGAGCAAAACAAAAGCAAGTAGAAAGTAAGAGCATCGACGGCATCGACAGCATCACGCAGTATACGTAGCATTAGCAGACACAACATTTACAGAAATCGAAAGTCATAACCATGAGTTCGGTACGTACGCCTTACACGCTGCAAGTTGATTGTCTTATGCCAATCACATATTACACTTATTTATTTCATATTTCCATGCTACAGATATCAAATGTGGAAAATCTGTCACCACAGACAATTCGTCAAGTAATGAAGGAAATGCAGCAGATGAGCGAAACACCATTAGAGGGCATCAAAATACAAATAAATGACGCTGATGTAACTGACATTCAAGCGCTAATCGAAGGTCCTGGTAAGTAAGTGTTGATATGGGCATTGCATACAAACAAATACTGGTTTCGGTGACTCCCTTGCACCTCTATACAAGCTTTTTGTAAAAAATAATGACAAATAAGAAAAATCAAAGCAAACTGTCCTTGATACGCACGTCGTTTGGCCTTGCCGCGAAGCTACTTGTACTACGTGCATATTAATAATAATTTAATTAAACGTTTTTCCTTGTATAGATATTAATAATATTTTATACCTATTACAGCTGGCACTCCATACGCTGGTGGCGTTTTTCGTGTTAAGCTAACACTCGGAAAAGATTTTCCGCAATCACCGCCAAAAGCCTTTTTTCTTACAAAAATATTTCATCCAAATGTGGCGGCTAATGGTGAAATTTGCGTAAACACATTAAAGAAGGATTGGAAACCTGATTTGGGTATTAAACATATATTGCTTACCATAAAATGCCTTCTCATAGTACCAAATGCGGAATCTGCGCTAAACGAAGAAGCTGGTAAACTGCTACTGGAGCGTTATGATGATTACTCGCAGCGTGCAAAAATGATGACGGAAATTCATGCGCAGGTTGGTATTTAGTTACTGAGAAATCGTGACCTCCGTATCGATTTTTTGATATTTCAAAACCGCGTAATCCCTTAAATATAACAGCATTCATATAAAATATATACATACAAATATAAAATACTCATACTTTTCCTCCATTTCATAGCCCGCAAAAGGTGCCGCCAGTGGTGATGCGAAAGATGATGATGGTCCCTCCTCTAAAAAACATGCTGTCGACAAAAAACTGCAGGACAAGAAAAAAGAAAAGCTCATAAAAGAGAAGAAACGTATGTTGAAGCGGTTATGAGGCGGTAGTTGTATATGTATTAAGCCTTTACCAAAGGGCGGTAACACAACAAGTCACCTTAGCGTTCAATTCTTTAAAAAAATTAACAAAAACAAACTAAGCCAAAACATCCATGAGCATTAAGTGGCAAATGCAAGTATAGACGCAGCGGCAACAGAAGCAGCATTAGCAATTATAAATAATACCCAATTGCAACAATAATAACAACAAAAGCATAATAATAATAACAGGGTTGAAGTATGCAGAGGAGAGCACTAAATTTGGGGACAGCAGCACAGTTCTAACGAACAACACTAAAAATCACTACACATGTTATAAAAAAATCAGTGTGAAACGGTATATTCACTATGTGCGCTATTTATATGCTACAAGCTTCGTCTGCTGCATTTCTTTTATTTCTTTAATTTGGCACATTTTAAATGGAATGGATTATCATTACAATAGCTTTATGTTTTATTAATGAATTAATTTGGACACGATACCGTAGGCATCACATAAACAAGACACATACACACACACACATACACTTCTTTTAATTGAGCCATGTTCGATACATAAACATATAAATATAACTTTGTGTAATTCTCCTTAGCTTTCTCCTATGAAATTAGTCAGGATAGTATAATAATTGTTATAAAAGAGAAGAACCTAAACACTATGTAGTATAATACTAAGTTTTATTTAGCATTAATTTACCTAATGTATTGTTCTAATTGCATATTTATAAACTCCTAGAAACAAAAAAATAGAGAAAATCAAAACTAATTTTATATTTAACGTCTTATGGACACATGTACACCATGTGCATACATGTATGTATATATGCATTAGGGTGTTCGTTATTAGCTAAGTTGATTTTTTTTAACGCCCTCTGATATGGCAGGTTTTGCCCACAAATATGACAGACAAATTTAACAGCTCCTCAAACATTTTAAATTTTGCATATTAAAAATGTAAAAAATCAATTTTGAGAAGAACGGACTCCCTAATACATACGTATATTTTTCAGAACGATTCAATGGCTACACAATTTCTTTTATATAGCAAAAGAGCGAAATGTTTAGCATTATGCGTACTCACATACAAAAATGTTTATGATTTATGACTATGTGTGTAGGAACATACACACATTTCCTTTTCTTATATTTGTATGTATGCGCGCTTTGTTTTTGCAGCATTTAAGTGCACTTGTGCTCAAATCAAAAAAACTGCTAACATTTTCCTTCAAACTCGTACTCGCCACAAATCGCCATCCACAACACCCACACACTTACTGCATGCACAAGTTGGTTAAATACATACATATATATTACTTACTACATATAAATTTATTGTATTAAACGTTCATGCATTAAAACTGATATACATATACTGAGAGTGAAGAAAAAACAAAGCAAAAAAAAACAAAAAGATAACAACAATGAGAATCGCCTAACCAACACCTTCCCGTGTACCATTTTTAGCGTGTAGTAGTCTGAAAAATAAAAGAAAAGCAATTGTGCAAACAAAAAATGTAAAATGTCAATTATAATGTTCTTATAATTTTGATTCTGATGGACATTGAGTGTTGGAATTTGTAACAATTCATGCATAATGGTTGAGCGATGTAGGAAGTTCGTCGCAGCGGCATGTGGTTATGATTTAATGTCTTGCTTGCGAAGTATGTATGTGTGGGCGTGACAAGGTACGCAACGCACGTTATTTGTAATATTTTTTTATGATTTCTTTTTTACTTTGGAAATACTAATAATTTGCTTTTTACGTTTTCTTTGCCATTTAATATACGTTTAATTTGAGTGCAAATTTGAAGCATTTTTTTTCTTTAATTTTTTGTTTTTACATTTCAAATTAAATAGTGTCAACAAATAAAATTAAACTTACTAACGTTACTAAATATATCGATTTCCGCTTAAGCTAAATTATTTTTTTTACCCTTGCTGCAGAGTGTAATAGTTTAACCTTACGGTTGTTTCTATCACCTATATACACATATAAAAATGATCAGGATGTCGAGACGAGTTGAAATCTGGGTGACTGTCTGTCCATCTGTCCCTCTGTGCACTCTGTAACTTGAGTAAAAATTGAGAGGCCGTGATGGAACTTGGTGCGCCCATTCTTTGGCAAAAAAAATCGAGTTCGTGGTTGGGCGTGATTGGACCGCTGCTACGCCCACAAAATTTGTATACTCTTACAACCTGTTGCTGCAGAGTATCATGGTTGTGTTCACCTAACGGTTGGACGTATCACTTAAAACTAAGCGAGATAGATATAGTGTGATATATGTATGTACATATAAATGATCAGGATGACAAGAAAAGTTAAAATCCGGTTGACTGTCTATTCGTCCATCCGTACAAGCTATAACTTGAGTAAAAATTGAGATATCTTGATGAATCTTGATATGCCCATTCTTTGGAAAACAAAATCGACTTCGTAGCGCAATCGGGCCACTGCCACGCCCACAAATCGCCATTTAACGAAAACCTATAAAGTGCCATATCTAAGCACTGAATTAATATATAAAGCTGTAATTTGATACGCAGTAGCCAGAGGCACCGGTGGGCCAAAATTTTTGGAAAAGTGAACGTGGCCTCGCCCTCTAATAAGTTTAATGTATATACACTTGTGCTCATACAATTAAGCCACATAAACGTTATGGTGTACAAATTCATAAAAGTTGAATTTTATTGATAAATCGRAAAAAAAAGTTTCACAAAATTAAAAGAAAGTACTTAAACTTTATTGTACTTATAGTTTTTTAAAGGTAAATTTTAATGTAAAAGCAAAAATCTGTTTTCTTCTTC